CGTTACACCACCTAAATAGCTAAATGTCAGTGTTTCGTGGCATCGCTTATTGTAGTAGATCCTCTTTTTTATTATTTTTGTTATAGAGCATTCGAAAACAGATTTTGGCAAAAAATTTCGCAACAGTGTTCCTTTTCTTTGTGTTTTTTGTTACCTAGTAAAGTCTGACCCAGAAAGTTGCTTGTTTCAGACGTCTTATGTGAAGGCGATAGACGTCTGAATGGGCGCCTGCATGGCTTTTGTTTTCTCCGCAATGATCAAGTTTACTGTAAGTATCAAATTTTGTCCTGCCAGTGGTATAAGGGGGACTAAGAGCAAAGCGTGCAACGTTGACCATTTCATGTATTCGGCTTCATTCGTAGCACTAAATATGTATTCTAGGGCTCTCTAGCCACTGCGCTACACGATTCTATTATGTATACAAAGTATTTGCCCGTTGGTTAACCACGTCATTGTAAATGGGCGGTATTAGTGACGGCCTAGCTGGGTTGCATCGTTGAGGTTTCATCCTATGGCAGCAGGATTTCCCAAAGTTTCGAAATAGTTCAACATTTGTCCTCTCATCAAGAACCCCACGCAGGAAAAAAGTCTATGCGACAGTAAAGGTCACTAGGAATGAAGAGTGGGAAAGGAAGTACTCTACGAAAGTCGTGATTCCTCTTGTTGTGTGGTCCCTTGAGCAAGCGGAACCAATTGGGCAGCTATGCTCCAACGGAGATGGGAGATGAAGTGAAACGCTGTGGGTGGTTGGTCGGATTATTCGAGGATTAACTAAAACAATATTTTAAAGGTCGTCAACTATTATACTCGTCGAAAAGTCAAAAAAGAAGTGAGTTCGGTTAGTGGACTCACCGAACAAGTGCATAATCTCGTTACGCAATACAAGGGAAGGCATTCGGTGCGCTGTGACTTTTCAGAATCCTTTCTGATACTCCTAGGTAGTGTTCCACATGTTAGTTTTGTCAGCCAAAATTCTTCACATTATGTGGATGACATCAGAGTCTACAATGAATGACTTTTAATGTCGATCTCAGTTTAGAATCATGTAGTAGAGCCTTCTCAATAACCTCCGTGAAACAGTAATGCCCCGCCCCAATCAGGTTATTTCTTTAATGTCTTTATTACCAACTCATAATCCTTCGGAGAAAATAAATTTCTAAAAACTTGTTTGTCCTTTAACTGTCGGTTAACTCCCTTTGTTCTATCACTGTCTCGACGACCAGTATCGTAAATAGATACCAAGTGGAAATATTCGAATTTTATCAACCCGAAGGACTAAAGTAAACACTGCTTATAAAGGATAAAACGTTAAAGCACCCAGCGTTAGGAAATTTTTTAGGGGTGTACCATACTCTCAACCCTATTCTTAACATCGCAGAGGTTGCTGAGTGCACAGTTGACCTACAATAATGATTACGGGACCTACCTATGTACCAAGACCAATGTTTCTACTCTCCTAAACAAATCTTGTACTAATGTTCTGACCTCATAGCGGTGGAGCACATAATTTGTTCCCGACAGGATCGAACCAGCTATCAGTGCAGCATGTATTGTGAAACACATCTAACTACTGTGCGATAAGCTCCCAGTATTGTTTATACTGCTTCAAATTCGCTACACAGTTTCAGCACAATATTCTCTTGTCGCTCGTGAATGAACACCAATGAAGATATCATTGTTGGCTAACCAGCAAACTTCGTTCTAACATATTCAATTTCCAGAGTTCTCATTATAATTCGAATGTTCAACTTTATCTTAACCTCAGCATGAATAATCAATAATATCTTGCAAACCATCCTTGTTTAAGTGAGCGTTAGATTGGTTTCTCTTCTTTCTTAAATATAGAGTTAGGTTAACTGTGTGTTGTTCACACACTACCAGCAAATTACCTGCTATGACAGTTCGTAAGATATCACTTCAAAGTTCTCATCGATGTCGTCGGGAGAGATACAAATTCTTCAGACGTCTTAACCATGTGTAATATGATAAAAATTTAAAACTCGCAGGCGCATTCCATGATTTTATGCATCGATCGATACTTACATTTTCAGTACCAAAACTGCACCGTCTTTGCAGTTGCATTATATGATGACAATACAAATGTACAAATTCTGGAGATGAACCGAATACGTGGAATGAATCGCTCATCATTGTTATTGAAACGAAGTCTATGGGATAAGCAGCGTAAAGCCGTCAAGGAGCGGTACGAATATTCTCTACTTCCTTCAATCTAGTTAGAATTCCAAAAGAACACCATCGCTCTTCCATAAACTTTTCATCCTGAATTTTATAATTCTGCAAGGTCTTAAGTTTAATGTGAATATGACTAAGACTTTAATGTTTAGCTGCTGTGCACGTCGCATATCCAATCTGATTTCATGGACTATTATAATTTTGAAAAGTAGTTACTTGGATATGTGGACGACTCGTCCTCACTGGTTGTGCGGGCCCCACCATAATCTCCATTGTTCGGAGTATTGCTGGTTTAGATATTGTGTTTCTCTGGGTCCCAAGGTCAGCCTAGTCAAAGTCTGCCTCAGGTCGTCACCACCACAGGCAGTGGTCGCCCATGTGGATCAGGGTAGTATTTTGAGAAGTACTGTTGGAAATTGCAAAAATACGAATTCACAAGCAAAATGTTCTTAGAAAAAGCACTACCAATGTGGTATTTAGGCTTTTTGGCTTCTCTACGAAGCGGATATATCATTAGGGTATCAGTTAGAAGCAATTGATGTTTTAAACCCCCTTTAGAAAATGACAGCATTGTGAGTAATTCCCAAACGTGATACATAGATATTGCACGAGGCCAGTTGTGATCTCATAGTGATCCTCCTTGCGTGTCTTTCATTTTTGGAATTTTTCGAAAAATTTTCAAGTGTTTTACGCGCTGATGTTTTGGATTTATGTGTGAGGATAGTGACTTTTACTTCAAAATGTTCTCTGCTAACAGTGTGCTATGTGCACCCAGCGGAGTACTTGGTTCGGCTTCGGAGTTCTTTTAGGTTGCCGATTAGGTGTTCTATACGGATGCATAATAGTCTACCCGTTCCGGTAATATATTCTTCCTCAAGCTCTTTACAAGATATGGGATAAATCGTACCCAAACTCATGCAGTCACCGTCTCTACTGTTAGGGCGTATTATAGAATTTTGCGTTTTGCATAGTCCGTCATACAGGCGGTTGCGAACTAGCAAGAGTCTGATAGCGTTCAGTGTCATTTTAATCACTGTTACCAAATTTTCTACGTTGCCAGGCGCATTCCACACCTAAGTAAGACTTTGTGTGGCCGCTCTCTATCGAATCACTCTAAAAGAACACTAAAAGAACAAAACTGTGGGTATATTTAAAAAAAGCTGTTTATTAAGCGAATGAAAATCTATGTCCTAACTTTTGTCTGCTGAGGTTGTGAAAGTTTGGTTTGGCTTGTTTGGCTGAGTGGACTACCTGTCAATTTGACTTTCCCAGTGTCTGCAAAAAGCGAAACTACCGAACCATCCGTTGTTGTGTATTAATAAATTCTGTGATGACAACCTTGTGTATGCTTATGAAGAAATTAGTGAAACAGTGAACAATTATTGAAGGATGTAAAGATGAAATCGCAAGTGAGAGAAATCTCATGTTTCGGCAAAGCTAAAAGTTTTACATTCCAGGCAATAAACACTAATCAGTGATCATTTTTGCAGTTCTTTTTACTGTACGTAGACAACTATGAAGAGTGTGCAGGGTCAGGCAACAGAAATCCATTACAATGTACATACTATGCGTCTCAGACATTTCTTAACACAGTGGACGATACGCATTGTATTCAAACAAACTTGGTCGACAATAATGAAGTCCTCAAAATATAAACCAAGATATATCAGTTCGAGTGCACTTTACTGATTAAAATAAAAGCCGTCGGAATCTACAATTCTTCAACAAAATGCAACTCTTCTTAAGCTACAGCAACAAGGTTCTTATTTTCATTGAAACGGACGTGGGACGTGTTTCTTTTCCGTTTTTGTTTATGGAATTTCGTTCAAACACGAAGCGAATGAACAGCTGAAATTTTCCAGAAAAAATACGAGAATACATGCCCTCATTATGCATTGATGAGTTCCGTGTCGAGCAGTGCTCTGAGGCGCTCTGCAATAAATATGGGGCTGATGCCCAAACCCAAGGCTCAACAAGCCTTACATCTCACCAGAGTCAGCAAAATAATTTGAGACTTGTCTGGAAGGATAGCAGCACTGACTCGACACATCGATAGGCGCAGGTTCAGCGAAGCCCAGATATGCATTCAGTCGCCTCCAACGATGCTTAATGAAGTCAGATGCATGGCGCTTCTCTCAGAAATTGATCAACGCCAACAGCTTTATCCTTTATCCTTTATCCTTTATCTTTGAGGGCGTGAAAAATGATCGGTAAGAGTTCCTTCCTTCTTTACTACTAATTGAAACCAAAGTCAAATTCTACTTCTACCCAAGCAGTGGATGCTACGCAGTATGGTTGTTTACATTTTTAATATAATAATTTATTTTTACACTCCTTAAAAATGTACTTTCTTACCGTAAAGAAAACTTCTGTAATCTTTATTCTTGCCATATCTTCAAAGTATTCGAATGAAAATAAAAAACTGCAAGGTATTTAGTGCGCATTGACATTCTACATCGTGAACACATCGTGAACAAAACAGCTACGATCAGAACAACAAGTGAAAAAAAGCTATGTTATAGAAATAAAAAAGTAGTCCCAGAATAGTGTATAACTGTTCCACACAATGACTGGTTTGTGCTATGGACCCTATGAACGCCATTTTCATGAGTTTTCACATGAGTAGGAAGATTGGATAAAAACTTAATTCATATGCATGGGTGATATGTAGATAAATAGAACCGATGCCACACTATTTAGAAAGTTTTCTGGTGACAACTAAAAATCCTATGTGCCTATGTCTTGCTCTTCTTCTAAGACATTTCAATAACATAAAACAAGATGGATTTTTAAACATCTATTTGGTATCATATTGTTCCATAGCCAAGATGCTGTTCACTGCCATTACTTTGCATTAAACCACCGGTGGCGACTGCCGAGGTTCTCTCAGGGCATGGGCAATATGTAAGCTCTTGCCCAAGAACAACTTCGTATTGCACTCTGTTATACCCAACGTGAGCATCTCTTCCGAAATTTCCCATGTAACCTTGAAGTCCAATCTCACCGTTTGCTCCTGGAATACCGTCGTCACCGTTGTCACCAGGGTTACCCGGAGGTCCCTGCAGACCAGGCTCTCCAGGCGGCCCAGGATTTCCTTTTCCACGCTGCCCATTCTCTCCATTAGCACCTGGTTTACCAACAGCTCCAGGCTCACCATTCTCTCCAGCATTTCCACTGCAACCCGGTTCTCCGAGAGCTCCATGTTGCCCTGATTGACCATGTGCTCCGTCCATTCCTGGAACACCAGCAGGTCCTTCGGGTCCAACCAGACCAGTGGGTCCGCGTTCTCCAGCCAGACACAAAATACACCTCGATGTGTCGTAACCAATATAACTGCAGGATGTATCACTATTTCCATTTCTTCCCGGTTGCCCAAACTCACCATCATTGCCTGGCTCACCGAGAATGCCTTGTGGACCAGGAGGCCCTGGCGGGCAATTGTCCGGTATTTCTTCGCAGGTGTAAACTCTGTAGCCAGTTACTGGTATGTTGTTAGATACGACTACATCGCTGTTGAAGTGGACTTGACGAGGAAGACGAGTGTGTTGATTGTTGGTGGAAAGCATTTTCGTCCAAGCATCGTCAGCAAAAATCTATAACATGAAAAGATATGATCCACTTTTTATCTAAATAGTAAATTAGTTAACAATAAATAAGGAAGTGAATTGGATGAGTTTTACAACATCCTCGAATTCGAGTGCTCACCTTAAATTCGTTCAGGTCTTCCAAAGCATTGTAATAAAAATTATTGATATCACTGTATATATACCCGAAGCTGGCTACGGTGGCGATGATGAATACGCCGCTAAACGTTGAAGTGAATCCAACACTATGTCGAATCATCAGATGTCTGTTAATATGACGATGAACCCTTTTATATCCGATTCCTTTTAGTATGGATAACTTGATAAAACCGCTAACTGAGGTCATATAGTCACTTCGATTTCAGATTCAGTAGACGATTCTATAGTCGCACAGAACGAACATTCATAACTGGTTCCTCACCGGATCGTCACCCATGTTTCACCGATAATTTCCAGTTACCTACATCAAACTGTTTAGAGGTCATACACACAGAGCGCTAGCGTTGTCGTTTTCACTGTTATAATTCTAGATATACACTTGATGGGAAGAAATAACTTACTCTATAAACACAGAGAAATGCGATTTTTACTGGCAATCTAAAGTCGATAATCGTGGAAGCTTTGCAGGATGCAGGAAAGAATTACGAAAGGGAAATAGAGTTTATAAACAACATAAGCAAAGATGATGAGCAGGCTTGTATGAAAAAAGAGGACGATCCGTAGTTAGTGAATGAATTAGATGTAGACGACCATAAAAAGGACACTGCAATGAGAAAATTTCTATGAAAGGAAAAACAGGCATATATAGGAAGACTGAACATTGTCGACTTGAGTATAAATAGAAGTACCTAGTAAAGTATTCTATATAAGTAATAAACTCTAATATTATAGTAACTGCCACGACCGACTTTCTATTAACCTCGGCATTGATCAGGTAAGTTTCTTCGCATTTTTGTTGAGCAAACGCGAGGTGTTATTATTCCTTATCGCCTTAAAGCTGACGTTTCGGCGGATTTCGCCTTCCTCAGAGCCTGGAAAGGTCAAGTTGATAGCAATCTACTCGGCCAGACGCCTCCATAACCAAACAAAGAAACTCTAAACCAAGATTTCAATCACTTTGAACACAGCTTTGCAAACACACCGCTTCCTATGAGGTCTCCACTAAGTATGTCACGTAGAGACCAACCGCACAGAAATCACGTGGAAGTATAATGTGCCCCTCACATCAGAAAAGCAGTTTTATATACTGCCCTATATCACGCGTGATAATGAGGCATTCTTCCCTGCGGTTCATTTTCGGATTTCTGGAATTAACCCAGAGTGCCTCGAGGGTTTTTCGCGCCTGTGTTCTCGATTCGCGTGCAAGGATCTTGACACATACTTCGAAGTCTTCCCCGTTATGTCTCTGGGTCCTATGCGTGCCTAGCGGGGTATTTGGTCTATTTTTGCCGGCTAGGTGCTCTTTCATGCGGACACAGAGGGGTCTACCCGTTTCGCCAATGTATTCGTCACCACACGTCTTACAGGAGATCAGATAAACTATACCCGAGCTCATGCAATCACCGTCTCTACCACTGGGGCAAATTATGCAATTTTGAGTTGCACATAGACGGTCATATAGGCGGTTACGAACTAGCTGGCGCCTAAGATTACTTGGTGGGATTTCAACTATGCTCACCAGATTTCGCCTTCCTCAGAGCCTGGAAAGGTCAAGTTGGTAGCAATCTAATATTATATAACAATTTGGTTATTAAAGTAGAAAAACGATTCCCAAACAAGTAACTGGACACAAAATAAGTCGTTAGTCTGCCGGATCATAGTTTCGTTGTATGAACAAACAGCTGACCCAAAAAGTGATAAAAATGAAATGGCGCAAGTGGCGCCGTGGTTAGAGGTACCCTACAAAACATGCTTGGCCGAACGCTGGCAGGATTCCGTAACCAGGCTCAACAAGTCCTCCGTTGCTTAGGGACCTGCAAATTGCTACCAGACTTGTATGGGAGCATAGCAGCACTAACTCCATATATACATTGGTAAGCTACAGCTAGTCATTGTTGACTGCTGACGGGCAATTCCTGATTGCAGAGATCGATAGAACTAGCTGAGAGAGATGCGAAACGAAGGATCCGCATGGTATGGTGGTGAACGCGTTAGCGTTCGTTTCCCACCGCAGACACCTGCAATCCAGAGTTTTGCAAATATCTCAGCATCGTTATGATGGTGTTTCGCATAACACCCTTCCGTGAAAAGTCGTAGTAGGCAGCAAATAAAAAGCAAAATACCGTAATCGGCCAACGAAACCTCTATCCATCATAATATCAGTACTTGCAATGTATATCTCAACACAATTATCTCACTCCGTTCGCTTCTATCCGTCGTAAAGCGGCTTGCGTAGTGTACTGTCTGTGAACATCAACAAGTTTTATTATCTTTACAAACTGTTCCCAAATGAGAAAACAATTGCGTAATTTCAACCACAAACATTTACAAGTGTCTCAAGGTTTCCGTTATGAAGAGCACTAGTCTGTTTTCGGCCCTGAATTATGTTTTCCTCCCCTTACCGCCGAATCCATCAGATGGTTGTGTCCCATCTTGATCTCTGTTCAAATGAACCTCAAAGGCGAGATGTTTTTCGGCGATATGAACTACAGCTTGTTCCTTGCGCTTGCTACACTTCAGAAAAAGAATTCAGTCACTACGTAGGTGGTGCGTTAGTTTAAGTATCAACCTAAATCTCAAATGCATTGCAGCCCGAGTAGTAGGCTGTTCAGTAACAAATTCCCATTTATTAAATTGATAAAACAAATCTGTTCTCATCTCCAATGGGAACGCCAGTAATAACAACAACATGACAAAAATACAACAATCAACACTAATAACGAACAAGTAAAACAGCTCACAATTAAATATTTCCGAAATTTAGAACATGTGGAGACCTGAAATACACAGTCTTCCCTACATTAGCAGATACAAAAATTTTCCAAGCCCATGAATAACTCATAGAAAACAAAGTGTCTACTTATAAGTAAACGCTCTTAGAAGTATAACGCTTCGAAAACAATAGCATTACGTATTTCTTGGTTCAGTATCGTAACTTAATGCAGTACCAGTTCGACCTTCTCTTATCTCGGTTGACTCATTTAGCCGAACACCGTCATCCAAGCCAAGCCAACTGTGGTTTTTAAAATAGTCCCCTAAAACTTGAAAACGCAAATGCGCATAGTCATCACCAATACTTTACTTTTAAAAATCTAATTCAACAATTTAAAGCAAAAAATAGATGTGTTTATTATAATGCTGAGATATTTGCAAAACTCCAGACCGCAGGTGTCTGCGGTGGGGAACGAACGCGCTATTGCCCTTTCCGGGGAGTAACGCGTTCACCACCACACCAAGCAGGTCCTTCGTTTCGCCTGTCTCTCAGCCACTTCTATCGATCTTTAAAGATTATCTGCTTAAAGAGAGATAAAGATCGATAGAACTAGCTGAGAGACAGGCGAAACGAAGGACCCGCATGGTGTGGTGGTGAACGCGTTACTCCCCGAAAAGAACAATAGCGCGTTCGTTCCCCACCGCAGACACCTGCGGTCTCGAGTTTTGCAAATATCTCAGCATTATAATAGTTGCATTTCGCAAAATACCCTGCCGTAAAAAGAATAGGCAGTAAATAAAAAAAGGTTAATATAGATGTTTTTTTTTTGCATTTTCGTCTAGTTTACTAAGAACAAATAACTTCCTTTTTCTGCATTTTGTTTTTTGATTGGAACTACTGTTAAAATTTTCCGAATAACTCACTTAAGATTTGCCCAACTATCCACAACCACTCGCAATTAGTAAGATTGTAAGATTAACTCCTTGCTCTTTTCACATGTAAAATATTCCAAGTCTACTCGACTATTTCCTAACAGAAAGAATAAACCAGAAACATTTTCTTACCTAACATTAGTGCTCAGACACTACCGAAATTCTTTGATAACTGTTTGAAAAAAATTATTCCGAAGATCTATGGAGAAAAAGTGGAGGCAAATTCCGAGCTTCACATCGACGTTGCAAGAAATTATATGGATATAGGATGATAAAATAACAACTGGAAACACTAAGGTGAATAAGACGAAGGCAGGAACGACATCATGAAATGTCATTTCTATTACGCTTGAAGCATAACCAACGGTGTTACAATCTCTCCGAAATACTCTACTTCACGCACTACGGTGTTTGCTCTAGATTAGGTCACTACAGTGGTTCACTTGCGTCCAAAGGTATATCATACTTGCATCCTTTCCTCGGGGCATTTCGTACTAATTTACATGTTAATAGTCCTCCTTACGCACTAAATTTATTTCCACTGTGTGGAAAACCATCCATCACCAAATCGACCGCTTAGAAATCGTCGGACCGCATTCAAGCCAACCCTTCAACAACGACGTCGTCTGCAAATAATAATACAGCTGTACGAACTTGTGTGTGTTAGCTGACCTCCTTGTACAACCTATTAATACCCAAATGCAGCTGCGACCCATAACTCAAGTACATCGCGTTTACTGCTTGCAAGCTTTACCCAATTTAACATATAGGGCAGGTTTCGCAAATACACAAGCACAACAAAGCACAGGTATACTATAGCGGAGAAAGAATTCATCCCCTGAATTAACTATGCTTCCAAGGGAAATTCCCCATCTCCAACTTGTAGTTATGCCACGTTGCCTCGTATCTGACCAACTAAAAATAATTTTGGACGAAGACGTCGAAAGGTTAGCCGAATAAATCATTTTTCTCAACCCCGTGTTTGCTTACTAACTTGAGGATATTGATGATTTTTGCCAGGATTTATCGGTTCGGAAAACACTGATTCGCCATGTGGTAGGCAATGAAATACCGACTGCTGCAGAATGCATTGCCGCCGAAAATGAAGATTACATTGAATAGCGGGAGAAAATAGAAATCCATCCTGTAAAAGGCACTGTCTCAAATCAAACCGACTTTGAAGAACACGTGGAAACGTTATCCGAATAAATCTTTTTCATCAACCTCGTGTTTGTTTAATTAATAATCAAAGAAGGTACCAACTGAAGATCCTTCAATGAAGCCATCTGTGGAAACGGATGTGGTAAAGAGTTAAAGCTTCGGAGTAGCTACATGTTGACAATTCTAGTCAACTAATTGTGCCAATGAAACAGCGATAAGCGAAAGCGAAAGCGCACACCAATATCAATGCATATTCAATCATTTAGGAAACTAACACAAAAACGGAATAATTCTTAACATCACATTTAAGCACCACCATCTCCAAACCTGTTTGATAAGCGACCATTTGTCCTGATTGTGTTGCTGCGTCAGAGTCCAGTAACCATGACGAACGCACCTTTCCTGTTATGAGACTCACATCTGCATCATCACTGTCACGAGCTCCAATGGCATCTGAAGTGCCCTAGATCTACACAGAATTTCTCGAAATACATAAATAAATTGGAGTTAGGTACGGTTCCCATACTTTTACGGCTGTATATATATATATACAAAAGAAATGTGAATCTAAATCACATCGACACCGCACTAAAGCTATTCGCAAAATAAGCCACAAAATAAGACCGATATTATCATATCTTCTATAAGCTGCAAACATGAAATGTCTATATAATATTGAAAAACTACGATTTCAAGAACAGAAGAGGGCTTTTTATTGTAACATCAATATAACTAGTGATTTTGGAGCAGGCCAACATGTATAAATTATGGAAACTAACACATACAGTTTCTTTTTATCAACTAAGAATGTGACTGTCTCTTTCACACATCCGATCCTTTGCTTATCATAAAAACTCACCGTTTAAGAACTCGGAGAAATCCGCACACCATTTACTGTCACCAGACCACTTCTTTAAAGGATTCAAGGCCACTTCTGCTTCAAACATCGACAATACGGGACGGAAAAACTCCGTCGAATCCAATATTACACCAAATGGGCAGGATAATAGAACGAAAACATCGATATCAACAAAGTTGGAGAGCTTTGGCACGTTCACCTATAATGAAATACGAGTGAAGCCAGAAAATACTAAAGACGTGAAAAATCTTAGGTAAAAAAGGCTTGTTCCCAGAAATGAAAAGTTGTAACCGGTTGCAAGGAATGAAGACGTTCTTACTAAACACGAGTAAGAGCAAATTCATGGTTACTGGCTTCCTCCCTACCTATAAAAATTTTTGAATATCAGAATTAGGGACGAGAACGTAAATGTAAAGACCATTATCGACCTCTCATTACTTAAGTTTCTCCAACTATTGATGGCATTTCTGTATTGCCACCTTGCATGTGAACGATTTGCCTTTGCTAAATAGGAAAGCGAAGACGCGTCATTTATATATATATATATATATATATATATATATACATATATATACATATGTATACATATATATGAATAAAGAAGTTACCCTCGGTTCTTTGATACACTTTCTGTATGGAATACTTCAAATGTTCTTGACAGTGATTAAAAGTGAACAGCTGGTGTCAATTCATAAGAGAGATATTATACTAAAGAGGTTTTTATTTGCAACAGCCAAAGACAAATCTGAATTATTACTAACAACGGACAATCTACATTGGAAAAACGTGCAACTGGAGTCGGAATAATCTTTAAAAAATACGTGGTCAAGCAGTATTACCAAATAATTAAAGAACGTAGAAAGTCACATTTTCCCTATCAAATTTCGAGATGTTGTGTTGGTGTAATGTTGCTGTAAAAGTTATATAAAATTTGGTATCATCGGTTGAGTTGTCATAGACGCACCACAATTTACCTTACTTAGGATTCTGTCAACTCAAGAATTGGTTACGGATCAAATTGACATTTATCCGACGTAATTTTGGAGTTTCTGGAGACCAGATCGCTAGACATTATAGATAACAACATTTTCAACCCCACATGCCTTACATGCACACGCTTTGTGAGGTACATCCACAGAGGTCCCTAATATGAGGGACCTCGAGCCGGTTAGTCGTTAGGATACGTGGCGTATCCCCAGGTTGCGGATAGGGGGTTAATCGTGGACCAAAAGCAACCTTTGCTTCCCTGAGACGCAGGTGGATCCAGGAGATGGACTCCCTGTTTCTGCTGCGCCGATTTGGCCCATGTTTTCTGTATTTACGAGGCGTATTCAAGGACGCGTGTGCGGGTGCGTTCAAATTTATGCGGATTGTATTCTACGAATCAATTCGGCAAAAAGGCTGCAATCAAGCGACTGGGAAATATATAGGGGGAAGGGGGGGGAGGTTAGGGGTCAACAAATAAGCTCCATGTCCACCTGGGAGAGAATGGTAAGCTGCTAGCGATAATGAGACATTATACTTCCACGTGATTTCTGTGCGGTTGGTCTCTACGTGACATACTTAGTGGAGACCTCATAGAAAGCGGCTCTGAAGAAGGCGAAATTCGCCGAAACGTCAGCTTAGTCGTTTTCACTCGAGTCATTCTAAGCTGGATTGGCAGAAGCTGGACAAAGGGCAGCCATGTCAGCAAGCAAGGTTTCGAACGGAATTTAATACGATGGACCACATACACACGATAGCAAAACTCATTGAGGTATCGCGGCAGTCACGGAAGCCCTTGATAGCCAATGAGTCCCTACTCGGTACATAAAGATTCTTCGTGAGTTGTACAAAAATTTCACAACCAAGATGTCGCCATTCTACAGCGATATTAACATCGACCTCAAAAGGAAGTTAGGCAAGGCGATACCATCTCACCAAAATTATTTACCGCCACCCTCGAGAACGTCATGCGAACATTGGAATGGGATAACATGGGAGTGCATATCGATGAACGCCATTTACACCATTTTCGGTTTACTGATGACATTGCCTTATAACACCAAACATTATCCAAGCGGGACGTATGCTTGCCGACTTTGATAAAGCCTGCGGAAGGATTGGTCTTCGGCTAAGTCTCACGAAAAATATGTTGACGAGGAATGGATTGGTTTCGTATGCTCCATTCAAGCGCAACGGAACGAATACCACCGAATGCTCCAGTTATGTCTATCTAGATCGGGAAATCAATATGGTGAACGACTTATCTCCAGAGTTGAGTAGAAGGAAACGAGCGGCTTTGGTAGCTTTCAAGAGCATCGAAGAAGTAATGAGGAGAACAAAGAATACACGACTCCGTGCCTATCTTTTCGACTCAACGGTACTTCTTGCCCTAATGTATGCGTCAGAAACCTAGGCGCTGTGTAAACAGGATGAAAGATCACTCAGCGTTATTGTATGTGCAGTCGAAAGGACCATGCTAGGAGTGTTCCGCGTCATGCAAGCAAGGGGAGGGATCCGATGTTCCGACCTGCATCAACGATCAAACTAAAGATGCCGTTCTATAAGCTAAACAGTTGAAGATAAGGTGTTCCGGACACGTAATGAGTATGAGCGACAATCGATGGACAAGAGCCGTTAGTGACTGAATTCCTCGGGATGTCAAGTGTACTGCAGGAAGACCACCGACCCGATGGTTAGAGTTTTTCACGAAAAGCCTGGAAGAAAGATATGATGCTCAACGAGTTCCTAGAGTGAGCATAACTCACTGGGCTACTCTTGCACGCGACAGGGAAAAATGGAACATTTGCTGGCGCCCGTTCGAGTCACTCCACGATCAACGGGACTACAGGTGATATAGGTAATTAATTGCTTGATTCACTTCCGTTAATGGTTTATCACTTCATCGTAGTAGTGGTGTTTCTGGTGTTAAACTGTGATGTAGTAAAGTGGGGATAAATGTCTAGAAGGCCATTCCAGTGTTAGAAGAGACCGACCTTCGTCACTTCAAGGGTACCGAAGAGCGAGCGAATGCTCAGGGACAGCGTCTGGTGCTACCTTAGTTACAACGTGGGAAATCTCTCCGACTGATAACAGCCGAATAATAACTTCAGTGAAAAACCTAGCAAGGTTATAGCGAGACTCTGTGGATAGGAAACCTTGTTCAAGCAGCATATTTCCAGCGGCAATTTCGCTAAAACCCGCCCATAACTCGTGAGGACGAGCCGCTTAAGTCTTCAACCAGGTATTGAGTTTCGTAGCTGTTTCTTGATATAAAACATATTTAACACAGTTCTTACATTGAAAATCTCAACTTTACACATAACCTTTCTGTACGAGTACACTTAATGTGCAAATGAACAGTTATCGCTGCAGTTCGCATCAGAAAGCATCATTACTACATCTCAATAAAAACGCTCACCTTTCCCACGGATATTACATAGAGCCGTTTTCCGGCCGCCTTACATAACTCTCGAACTCGGTGCACAGCTTCCCTTAAACACTACTGCATCAAACTATCCATAAGTATTTGAAATGTTGCAGGAAAAACCATGTAAAATTAAGACTTACATATGCCGTTTCACTCCGAGACATCCAACCACGAGTCCAACAGTACGTGCATCACGCAGTTTTTCTATGAGAAATAAACGTTTACGAAGCTCACGCCAAGATTGTGGTCTGAAATTATGAAAAGGATTAGCAGTCCATCTACCATATCCAATAAATCTATAAAGGAAAAAGGATAAAGCTCTCAGCGTAGATCTATCTCTTAAGGATACACCATGCGTTCGACTTCATTAGACATCGCTGGAGGTGACTGAATGAATATTTAGCCTTTACAGCCTTTACAATGACTCACAGTGGCCTACTGACTTATCAAGCTAGAGCTGCTATTCTCCCAGACAAACCTGATGCTAATTTACCGATCCTGGAGGAACAGAGGATAGGATCAAATCAGAACACATGAAGAACCTTCCGCCAGTCTTGGTAAACACACTGACTCGGCTCTTCACACGTTACCTGTCTGAATGCAAGGTCCCCAGTCAGTGGAAGACCAGCAAGACCGCGTTATTGTTCAAGAAGGGTGACCTACGAGATATGGGCAACTATCGCCCAATCTGCTTGCTGTCTGTCGTCTACAATTTCACTCGAGTCATTCTAAACAGAAATGACACGACACTGCACGAAAGACAGCCATGTGAGCAAGCAGGGATTCGAGAAGGATTTAGTACGATGGTACATCCACACGATAACAAGGCTCACTGAAGTATCGCGAGAGTACAAAAGACCGCTCTGTCCCACTTTCATCGATTTACAGAAGGCCTTTGATTCAGCTGAGATAGAAGCATTCTTGGAAGCCCTTGATAGTCAAGGAGTCGCTACTCAGTACATAAAGATTCTTCGTGAGCTGTACAGAAATTTCACAATCAAGATAACACCATTCTACAAAGATATTAACATTGACGTCAAAAGAGGAGTTAGGCAAGGCGATAACATCTCTTCAAAATTATTTACGTCCAACCTCGAAAACATACTAACCTTTGCCTATGACATCGTCCTTATAACACCAAACATCAGCCAAGCAGTACGTATGCTTGATGAATTTGATAAAACCTGTGGAAAGGTTGGTCTTCGACTAAATCTCACAAAAACGATGTTCATGAAGAATGGATTGGTTTCGTATGCCCCATTCATGCTCAGCGAAACGAATATCTCCGAATGCTCCAATTATGTCTACCTAGGTCGGGAAATCAACATGATGCACGACTTAGCTCCAGAGTTGAGCAGAAAAGAACTGGCTGCTTGGGGAGCTTTCAAGAGTATCGAGGATGTAGTGAAGAGAATAAAGAATACCCGACTCCATTCCCACCTTTTCGACTCAACGGTACTTCCTGTGTTAACGTATGCGTCAAAAACCTGGTCGATGCGTAAAGAGGGTGAAAAATCACTCACCGTCATCGTACGCGCATTCGAAAGGACGATGCTAGGAGTGTCCCGTTTCACACAAGAACGGGATGGGATCCGAACGAGACAGTCGAAGATAAGGTGGGCCGGTAATGCGTATGAATGACAACCGATGGACAGGAGCCGTGACTGGGTTCCTCGGGATGTCAAACGTACTGCAGGAAGACCACCTACCCGATCGTCAGTTTTTCACGAAGAGCCTAGAAGAAAGATATGTTGCTCGACGAGTCCCGAGAGCGAGCAGAACCCATTGTTCAACTCTTACACGCGACAGGGAAAAATGGAAGATTTAGCGGCGTCGGCTTGGGTCACTCGACGAACAACGGGATTACGGGTGATACAGGTGACAAGAGGAACGGAAGGCTTGCCGGCCCTGGGGTGCGGAGATCGGCCCCAAGTGTATTACAGACCGCCCCAGACCACTGCGCTATATGCGCCCTGTCTAATAAATCGATGAATTTTAAACCACATCACACAATTTGGGGCACCCGTATAACAGTGAAAAAAATACTCTACAATGCATATTGAGTCGTTGCTTCAACATCGCACTACGGATAAACTACGCTCTCCAATTATCCGGAGTCGAAAGGTTGCTACTAGACTTGCCTGAGAGGATTGCAGCACATCCGCAACAAACCAATGTGCATGTACAATATGCACCCATTCACTTTTACGATGCTTATTGGAGCAAAATATGTGGTAGATTATTAAAAGTTTCAAAGCACTGGTGATATGTCCGCACAATTCTCATAAACACGTTCAGTGTAGAATAAAGGTTGAATTCCAGTGCCATGCCTCACATTGTATTCTTGCAGAGAAATGCATACTAAAAAGTCGGTGGTGTGGAATTCCATATGTCGTAATCTCATAGAAAGATAGATGAACAACGACAACAAGAAAGGTATGTGCTGACATAGTAGATTACGTCCACATTCTGTTCCCATTTACTTACTGGGTACTTAGAACACCCGTCCTCAGTGGTTGTGCGGGTCCCAGCAAAATTTCTATTTTTTGGAGTCTTGCTGGTTTAGCTACTGTGGTTTCTCGGAGTACCGAGGTCAACCAAGCCTTAGTCTGCCCCTGTGCCACCACAGCAAGTCGCCAGCCTTTGTGAATCAGAGGAAGGTCTACCAACATGCGACTAGTTTCATACCAGGACGGTAGTGTACGCTGATACTAATTGAGTTTCAGCTGAGCTTCCTCATGGGAACGCCGGACTCATTCTCAGCTGGCAAGGCTTTGCCGCGGTGATGAATCTCCCTGTTGCACATCGCATTCCGACGCTCAGGTACACCTCCCACTCACGATGAGGGGTAAACCGTTGGGAAGCCGTTTCCATTTATCGGTTCACAAATCACAAACTGTAGCCAAAAGCATGTGTAGCACATTAAATTCATATACTTGAAAAATTTCGTAAAAATATGAGGAACGATGTTACCTCACCTACAATCACATGGTACAAAAACAACGGCCCTTTGTCTACTTCAAAAAAAAAATGTGGCAACTCACATCGTATTTTTTCGAATAAAATAATAACCAACGAAATAGACAGATTTTTGCCTAAGAGGTGAATATTCCCCTGCTGTGCCACGACATCGTGTTTATCTGGAGACAACAAAACCTACCTTTTCCTCTTTTTTTGAGTTATATAGTTCGCATTTCGAACATGAAAGGCATTGGAAAGGAGAGAATTTGTCCAGAAATACACCGTAGTGTTCTCCAGTGTATCTAGACTTATTTTCACGAAAGAATTTGAATTCTATAGAAATTTGGAATCGGAAAGACATTTAACAAAAATGAAACCTGCAAACTTAGCGTAAAACAGTAAAGTCTCTTCTACAAACCCGTAAGGTTTCTTAACAAGGTTACTGCTCTATTAATGGAAGAATTTGTTGCTGATTGTCTAAAAACAACGTTTGTGCCAAATGTGTTGGTGAAAGTTGAAGTATTATTCTTGACCTTTTAAAAATCTTTGCACTTGATATGCTATCAGAGTTAAATAGCTATCAAACTAAAAATCTCCTTTTCACGCGTAGAATTACAATGTGAGTACCACAGTATACTCCACAAGAATACTTCAACAAATGATACTGAGACAGCATACAAGCACTCATAAGATTGCGTTGCTTATTTCCCTAATTTTCCAGCAAATAAACGGTGTTCTTTTCAGAAATAGCAGTCACATTTGTACCGCATTCTGGATCACTCGTTTTTCCCTGGCTGGTCGACTGTGCGAGTACGGCGCTTTTGTAGCACAATGCATGTTCACACCCAGAAAAACTACCTCACACATCCAAACTCGTCCAATTAGTTCGTTTAACGCGGATTTTGCCCACTTAATAAACTAAGCCGAAAACTATCAGTTGGAAGCAATCTTCGAAGATGATCTAGGTCGCCACTGGAAACGATCAAGTCCACATCCCGTAAATTGTTCATCTCTCAGAAACTTCACAGAAAAAATTGACGACTTCGACAGCAAATCCGTTGTGGATTAGGTCGCGATCAATCAGTTGGTTACCACAACACTTACCGAAAAACGTTTGTAAACACAAATCCAAACCTCACAAGCAACTAATTTGTAATGTAATTTAGTTAACACTGACATTTACTTTGAAAGTTAGAATATTTGTTTAAGCCGACAAAAAAAACTACACAAAATTGTTGCAATAATTAGAGAAAATATGAAAAACTTGGAGAATTAAACGCTTTCTACAGTAATGCAAAAAGTGAGGAGAATCCAACTACACTACCTCATTTCCTTTTTATTTACTGCCCATTCTTTTTAACGGCAGGGTATGCTGCGAAATATAACTACTATAATGCTGAGATGTTTGCAAAACTCCGGACAGCAGGTATCTGCGGTGGGGAACGAACGCGTTATTGTCCTTTCCGAGGAGTAACGCGTTCACCACCACACCATGCGGGTCCTTCGTTTCGCCTGTCTCTCAGCTAGTTCTATCGATCTTTTGCCATCAGCAATCACCTATCAACGGAATACACTACCTTTGTTGTTCTCTTTTTTACAGCAATAATATACAATACACTATCTCTAATGTAGTCCAGTAGATCAGTACTATCCCATATTATTTAGTTTTCCTAGTTAATGACAAATCCTAACACTGAAAAATGTGCCTAAAATAAAAGGAACAAAACAACGTTAAACCGATTTTGCGACATGATACAATGAATAGACTTTTTTCACTGTCATTAAACGGGGAGGAGGAGCATACATATAACCCCTATACATAAGGCAACTAACGCGATACGAACACGAAGCGCTTCCTCTCCGACAATGAATGTAAGGTTCATCGCCACATTCGGCTATGTTTCGTCCGCAATCTCTTCTCTAGCCGTCATTACAACTGTTATTGCACTATTTCAACGTATCAATACTTTCTACACTGAAGCAATGAAAGATATGGAAGAATTCAAGGTCTGTTTAACGAGAGTGCAATAAATTTGCATCTAGTCCAGTGGTTCGTTTCTTAATCTAGATTATACCTTCATCTAGAATAAGCCAAATATATGAATGAACGCGATATCCAGATTTTCTGCACCAGAGACAGCATTGTCATACACATACTCTATTGATAAAAAAGGAGAAAGCCTTATGTCCGCAAAATGGATGAAGTAAAGTGCGAGAAGCCCAGCAGAGGGACATGAAGTGCAATACAGACGTGCTCGCTGGTTCGACCCCGTCCTAGGAGAACCAAGCCCGCTATCTCTCCATGTCTGAAAACTGGCACCATATCTATATGAAGAGAACCACGACCAACAAAAGTCGGCACCTATCTGTAGTGATGAACAGGAAACGTTTCGAGTGCAACTCCAGCGCTCCAGGAATAATCTATTTGACCAATACTCAACGATATAGATAAAGACATACTTCTCAAGTAGTGGCCGAGCCCAAATGCACAGCTGAACACCATAGATCATGGATGCAAGCAAGCGAATAAAAGTGGTACTAGGATCAACTATTAATACATGTTTGCATTATTGTATTATACTTGAAAACGTTTTCAGGAATACGCAGATGATGCGTGGAGAGAAATAGCAAGCTTAAGTCCAGAACGAAGCAATTCCAATTCCAAAAAACTATCAAGAAGAAATAAGCGATCCAACAAGTGCAGCTGCCAGTACAAATACAACGACTGTCCAGCAGGACCACCTGGACCTCCAGGTGAAGCTGGGATACCGGGTCTAGACGGAAGTCCTGGCCAAGACGGATCAGCAGGTATTGGGGGAACGATTCTACTCTCGAAAGACCCTATAAGATGTATCCAGTGTCCAGCTGGAGCACCCGGTCCTCCTGGCCCAGATGGAGATCCTGGTCCGCCAGGAATAGATGGTGCCGATGGACCTCCTGGTCCAAAGGGTCAGGACGGTAATAATGGGTTGATTGGCGACGCTGGAGCGCGTGGACAAAGAGGTAATCCAGGGGCTCCAGGACCACCCGGAAAACCCGGGCTGAGTGGAAGACGAGGTATAGGCGCACCAGGACCACCTGGACCACCCGGACCCCAGGGGCCAATCGGCAATCCGGGAAATGACGGAGAAAATGGGAAAGATGGGCGAGATGGCCCACAAGGACCGATTGGCAGGCCAGGCCGGATTGGAAATCCAGGAGAAGACGGTCCTGTAGGCCCACCTGGAGCTGTGGGTGAACCAGGATCAGACGCAACATACTGTCCATGCCCACTTCGCAGCCCGATCTTCATTGAGAGCAATTCGATCAAATCCATTGGTGTTGATACTGTTAAAAGTTACAAACTACAATGATGACCAATAAAAAAACTCTAAAAACTTAAGTTTATTCGACGCGTAAAATCTTTACTAGAAGGTGGTGAAAGAATGGATTACCCATACTGATGAACAACAATATCTCCAACAGTACGTAGTATTTAAACGAGGAATTTAGAAACAAAAACTGTGATTCGGTTGGTGTCCAACGTTATTTTTACTTTTTGCAATAAAGGGTACAATGGATTCATATGGAAAACAGTGCATCCAAGAAGTTAGTGACAACGAAAACAAACCCATGTACAAGAATCTACATTATTCGCACATTTTTCGGAGCATTGTTCTATTTTTAAACATGGCTCCACCATTCTTTCCCATGACAACGTATAAAGTGTCTCAAATTTTTACAGTTACAAAACATAATGAAGTATTACGAGCATCATTATCTCGTAATTCACGTGGTCACCAATAAAATCCACTCGTTCGTGTCGCAATCAAGATCAGCTCACTAGGCTTCGCACAAGAAATATGAAAACACCGCAACCTTGGTACACTGCCTTTCTCCTTAACCTTTTCCAATAACTCAGCTCGAATGATCTTGTAAGCGAGTGGTGATATTCGGTTGCATGCCACAGTCACTAACATGGAAATAATCCCGTGAAACGACAAAACGGTAAACCATCACAAGTACTACTGAGGCACTTCATAGAAATCTCAGGATTCTCAGAAACCCACTAAAATCGTGAGAGGAGGTCTCAAATATTGAGAACTCTAAGTAAATAATAAGTAATTCAAAAACTTAGTGTTGCAACAAAAACGAAAAAAAACGATGAAGAAAGTACACAGTTCTTCAGCGGTCCGAAATCGAAGGCTGCAACATCGTTGCATGTTTTCCAAAAAGGAAAGGTGTAAAACCGGTAGTTAACCTTGCCCGATTCTTATCGCTCTTTTTTGGTGAATTTTTCGGGCAATTTTTGCCTGCGTTGTTTTAAAAGATGTGTCAATTGATGAGTTTGATATCAAAACGATACTTCGCTGCGCCATTCCACATACTTCGAAATCTACGCTTCAAAAGCTTAGGAAGATAAGAACACGAAATTTCTCCATTTTTAAGCGTTACATTGGTTAAAGAAGTGCAGAGGCGAATTTCGAATTTAATTAAATCCTTTTAATTTTCAAAAGAAGGAAGTCTGGCGAATATGGACTTTTAAGTTATCAATGCAAATGTGGCAATTGAACAGATCAACCATATTCGTGAAAAACCATCTCACTTGTCGAAATATGTTGTTGTTTAATTGTTGTACTATGACACTAGTTGCGTGCAGCGGTTAGGGCGCGTGTTACCCAGTGATAGGAGGCGCCCTGCAACACACATGGGATCGATCCCACGCGCCCAAGGCTCACCAAGCTTCCCATCCTTCCGGGGTCGGCAAATTGGTACCAGACGTGTTTGAGAGGATAGCAGCACTGTCTCGATACATCGGTAGGCCACCACGAGTTATTGTAAAGGCCAGATATGCATTCATTTACCCCCAACGATGCTTAATGAAGTCGAAAGCATGGGGCATCCCTCAGAGACAGACCATCGCCGAGAGCTTTATCCTTTACTCTTTTTTTTCTGACAAAACGCTCAACGAGAAAACAAAACTAAAGAATGGCATTTTAAGAAGTCGAGGAAACTACACTTTCATATTCGTTCAATACGAAAACTTCCTTCTTGCTGGCTCTTTAGGAAAATATGAGTTGTATATTAATCAAACTGACCGAAGCGCTTCAATGCGCATGGTGCATACCAGCACCAATATGTTAAAACATAAGTAGACGTTAAATAGAAATCCAACCTATGTTCTCCCCACGTGGAAGAATGTGGATCAAAGCTTATCACGGACGTACATTGCGGAAAACTCATCAGCCAAAGTGGAACGAGGGGGCTAGTCGGATCTCCAACGAAGCATACTTGTGTTGACAACGCACTGCAGAACTCGTGAGGCACTAGTCGTCCAAAGAAGCACATCTTAAGCACCATTAATATGTAATGGTACAAAACAGAGCTCGTAATGCATTATATAAACTAAATTCATATAAAATCTTTTGACAAGTCAGAAAATTAACATACAACTCCTTCTTTTAAACGTTGATCTTTTCGAGATGGATCCAAAACTTTGGCGTGATATAACTGTCGTTCCTGAGGAAGACCATGCTGTACAGTGTTAAAAAGTACATCTGAAACAATACCTGTTGAAAATCTGAGATTCTTAAAGAAATATTTACAAACTACAAAACAAAGTAAGATAAAGCTAAAGTAAGTCACAAATTATAATTACAAAGAGAGCAAAGCAACCGTAAAGGAGATTTAAAAAATTACCACTTTTATCGGAATAACAAGCATCTGTTAGTAACAGAAGTGGTGTAGTGACATCAGTGGCAAGACACTTAGGAAATTGACTAAACGCTTCTAGATTTAGAGGGAAGCTTCCAAAAACAAATCTAAAAAGTTGAACAATAAATGATATATCGAATATATTCACAGATGAATTAAAAAGGGGTGTATAAACTAAGCGATAGCGAACAAGTGAATTTTATTCAACCACTCTGATTCAATTATAGTTCCCTTCCCATAATTACAAAAATAAAAAAATCCAGTTAAGAAACTGTAGAAAAAATAAACCTGAAGGTTAGGAAGGATGCAAACTAACACAGAACGAACGATATCCAACTGGAAAAACACTTCTTACTTGACTGGAATATTCTCTGGAAGTGCACTTAGACACGCATCACCATAGTGTACCATTGCATCGCAAGATGCATGGGAAGCAGCCACCTCGTCCACACAGCAACTAAACTCAATCACGAAAAATATGAAAACACAAGCAGTAACACTGTTAACCACGTGTGTATCACGATAAAAAGGAAGCGTTTAGCGCAGTGATCGGAAGTGCCCTGCAACACACATGGAATCGGTCCCCGTGGCCCCAAGCTCACCAAGCTTACCATCTCCCGTGGCAGGCAAGTTGATAGCACACTTGCCTGCGAGGATAGCAGCACTAGCTCGATACATCGGTAAGCCACCGCGAGTCATTGTAAAAACCATATATGCCTTCAGTCACCTCCAAACGATGCTTAATGAATTCGAATGCATAGCGCATCCCTCTGGCGACGACCAACGCCGAGAACCTCCTATCCACCTATCCTTTATCCTTTTACATCAAGATCTTTTAAGCGTCACAAAAGACAGAAAAGCACCTATAGAACAATGAAATGATGCAGCAACCGTACGTGTATCATTCAGAAAAGAAAAACCCTCATTCGCTCGCCAAATACGCTCCAAGTAATCGCCTCCCAAAAACAAGCAGCATTCCAAGACAGGCTTTCTCTTAATCTCGGCGCTGGTCAAATAGTTCTCGACATTCTTGTTGAGCAAACACGAGGTGTTACTTTGCTTATTATTCCGGTAAAGCTGACGTTTCTACAGCATGGTCTTCTTCAGAGCCGTTCTTTTACGTGCCTTCCACTGAGAAAGAACGGGTCTGAAGAATGCGATACTGTCGAAACGTCAGCTTTATCGGAACAAAGAGTAAAGCAACTCTTTAATTCTACACCTTACTTCAACCTCATACAGTATTCATAACATGGGACAGTTCAGCTGATACCAGGTGATAACTAACCAGGTAGAAGCAAAAATTTTCTGCCTCCCATATTATTTTGCCAAACAGTCGATTACCTCCGATAAGACGTGTCAGCAAGGACGAATGTCTTCGTATCCGCTTTTGATTCGATCAATTTGGCAATACGATAGGCTCTTGCCAAGAAATGGTCCGGTAACTGAAGGGCTACTCGATTATAATTGTTGTCACTGATCCATCTCACAGTCTCGTCAATATCAAAAAATACTTCCAGCTGCTCACAATCAAGGCTCTGGAAAAAATTCACAAGAAGTCGATCAAGTCAACAGAATGTACGTATGTCTGAACTCACCTTTATGAAATCGCATATTGCGGAAGACATCGAGCTACAATTCTCCGTCGGTTGGTCAGCTGGCGTACCTCCAGTAAAGAATTGAGAGGTTGAAGGACCTGCTTCAACTGCATGCGCCATTAAGGAAATTAGATTTCTAAAACAAAAAAGCCAGATCTGATAAAAAAAGAAAACACCTGCAGTAGGCGGAAATAATGGTCGGAAAAAAAATCTGGAACAGGTTCAATGGTTAAGACATAATCTCTACAAAAAATATGCGCTACATAGAGCAAGAATATCAGATGCATACGACTAAAGATTCAGATTCCGTAAAAACTATCCCTAATCTAAGTTATACAGGAACTGCTTGCTACATCTAGGGTTAGGAAGCTTCTGGAAACTTTTTGTGAGCTATTTAAACCTGTGTTTATACCTCTAGCGAATCTAGCGAATTTTTTTTTAGATTAGTTTTCCTGGATAACGATAGACCAAACGTTTCAAAAATGTGTCTTAAAGAAACTAACTCTGTTAAAGAAGTACGAATATCTGCCTCACTAAGGTTTGATGAGGCCTTTTATATTTCAACAAGCAGGCTACACGTGGACATGGAAGTTTTTCATTACAAAGAAACCCGTCACTTCCCCATATCTACCATGATAAAATCCACTTAAATGATCAAATACTCTTAAACAATAACATAAACTAAGCAACCATTAGGAATATGGACGCACTTAGAACGAAAAGAGAAAAAGCTTCTGAGGAATCCGCATTCTCTGTCGTCTAGACCTTTATGCTTGCTCGGACTTCATCGTCCAAATCGTCTTTTTCATCGCATTCTCCGCAATCCAACAAAAAGCAATTTTACAGATCTTGTTTAAATTTGTTGATTAGGTGTCCGCTACCTGCTATGTTTAAATATTAGATTCGTAATGAGACTGTAAAATTTATGAACTCCTCAGTCATGGAATAGATCGGGCAAAACAAATGCAGTAAAGTCTCCCTTAGTCTGTGTTTCGGACCAGAGATTCCCAGTGAGCTGGGCAGAGATGCGAGGAGCAATATCCTTTTGGTAGTAGTCACATGGTTGCTTCTTATCTGGAATTAATGTGCAGGATATATTCTACACACCTGCAACAATATACATAATATTACTTTCGTAACTACGTCCGTATGAAAATTAATAGCTGACTATCAGCACAAGTTCGACAAGCATCCCATCCTTGCATGAATCCACTTGCTGCATAGGGGGTCTATCCTCGTTTAATTATTGCTTATCTATACCTCGCATCTGTGTTTATCCTACGTATGCTACCCCTTAGGCGATTCGAAACCCCAACTGAGGGCCGTACGTGGTTGAGCACACAAAATACTTATGATCATTATCCACCTCTAAGATCCTCTTGTGTTTCATTTCTGTGTTTTCTAGTGCCTTATCTACACAAAGTTATTGATTAAATGCTAGGTAGACTTAAGGCTTTATTCTTGGTTGTCAATTAGTAAAATATTTAGTTTTCAGATCGTCGGCATGCGCGGTAAGCGCAGTGGAGCACGACATGTGTACCGAGGATGGTCCCGTGAGGCCCGCGATCCCACATTTTTTAGTGGTACCAGCAGCGTAGCGGGATATCTAGACGAAGTGGGTGTTTTCTGCTGTTCAGTTTGCCTAACGAACGTTCGTTGCATTCGTCATGCAAGTTTCATTGTGTAGGAAGATACCGATCGACCATCGAGTGGCGTTCAAATACTTCTTCCACATCGTGAAGAAGACGAGACTCTATCTGGAGGATATCGCGGCTGGTCGCACCAAACTCGCGACCCGTCGTTTTTTGGCAGTAGTAGCACACCACGTCCTGTAGACGATGCCGAATATTCCAACGTTCGATTTTATTTGTTGTCGGTTGTCTTTCCGTTTCTACTCATAAGCTGTACCGTCATTGTTACGTCCACTACTTTAAGTTCTGTTTTAGGAGGACGTCGATCGAATGTCGAGTAGTTTTCAGCAGCTTTCTTATCGGGTAGATGAAGAAACTTTGTCGAGCAAAGAACAACGTATGACGACCACATCTTCAAGGGATCGCAGAGGTTTCTCATTATCATCGAAGTTTCTAACCAGTACAGAAATCATTTTCATATGTAGTCCTGCTGGCATGTAGTCATATTTATCTACCTTTAGGTCCTTTTCTTGGCCGTTTCTCATTTATAATGGGCCATTTTCCATCCGTTACTCTCTGGAGTGCTGTAGTAAGGCTTATACTCACACGCCCTTGCTTGCTTATTTGGAAGGCCCGTCCTCACTAGTTTCGCGGGCCCCAGAATAATTTTCATTCTCCGTATAATTGTTGGTTTAGCCATTGTTGTTCCCTGGAGTCCCGAAGCCAACCAGACTAAAGGCTGCCCCAAGTCATCACCACTACAGGCAGTCGCGCCCTTGTGGGTCAGAGGGAGATTTGCCACCATGAGACTAGTTTCATACCAGGACGGTGGTTGCGTCCTGGTGTTGGTTTGCTCTTAGCTGGGCTTCCTAGTGGAAACGCAGAACTACTTCTCAGTTTCGAAGGCCCTGCCTGCAGGATAAATCCCTCTGCTCTACATCACAGTCCTGCACCCAGGAACACTTCCCAGCCACGATTGGCCAGTAAACACCGTTGTGAAGATTCACATATCCACAAAAGAATAATGAGGTTAATGTTGTACGTGTGCGGGATCCAACATTTTTCTTTTTTGTTGAAGATTCCGGCTATAGAGTATGCCGTCCTGCTCAATTATATGGTATCTGATGCAAGTTCTTCCAACACATTGGAACTATTCCTAGATAATGTCTTAACTACAAGAAGCTCTGTTATGACTCCTGAAAAACTGAGAAAGGAGCAGGGTCCTGTGATCCTAACAAAGGACTCAACTATGACGGACGGAGTGAGGTTCATCAACGACAATATGGATGTATGCGACCAATTATTGGTTTGTCTCTTCCTATTCCTCGTTTTTCCCTTTCTCGGTTATACTCCAACAAGTGTCTATTGTAATGTGATGCTCACATTTGGTTATGTTTTAGAAGTAAAACGATAAAGTTCAGGAATTTCTCAGTGGTGAAAACAGTAACTACAATGTAATCTCATCCATTGGGCCACAAGGTGCTGGTAAATCGACGATCCTGAGTATGATCGGTGGAAACAATTCGCAAGATATGTATAGGTAAGCGTTGTCTTTTATCTCAAAGTTATTATGTCTATCAATTCATTAAAGGCAGTACATTTTTCGACCGGCATCACGTGAAGCATTGGAAAGCTCCCGACATCAAACCACAAAAATCCACGCCTATATCACAAAGTTCAAGCAGATTTTTCTCGATTGTCAAGTATTAATTTGGCTTAATTGCTTAAATGTCTTGCTCAGAATGTTTTTCCAAATCATCCGACTTTCAGGCCTCAAATTGTGCTTCTGTATTAGATGAAGCAATAAGGTACAGTAGGTCAGCACTTACCGATGGCCGCTATGCGATTAATAATTACATGGAGGTAAATCGTTCTTATTCATAGAAGGTTTTGTAATTGGAGAGTTTTTTCAAAATATTTTTGACTGAACTTTATGCCCATACATACATATACACATATATGTACACATGCATGTGTAAATATATGTGCATATATATATATATATGATATATGCAAATGCATGTGCTAGCGTCATCATGATTTCCACTTTCTTGAATTTTTGCTGGTTTTGCCATTGTGGTTCCCTGGAGTCCTGAGGTTAGACTAGCCAAAGTCTGCCCCAGCTCATCACAACCACCGGCAGTCCCCGTTGTGGGTCAGAGGTAGATTTATCACCATACCACTAGTTTGATACCAAGGTGGCGGTGGATTCTGGTATTGGTATTGATTTACTCTAAGCTGGGCTTCCTGATGGAAACGCCGGACCTCTTCTTGGCTTGGGAGACCCTGCTGAGGTGGATTAATCTCCCACTGTACATCTCAACTCGACACTCAGGAGTACCACCCAGGCATGTGTTTATTACATACACGTATATGTATACATATAATGCGCATGCAGTATGTATATATGTGATACCTTAGTGTATTATGTATTGTATATGTCTATATAATGTTTGTATACAATTTATTAGTGTCTGTAATTATCCATCATTTTCAGATTGTCAAGCTTATTGCATTTCTCATACAAACATCTCACACACTACTAGTATGTTCAGATTGGTTGATCGACATTGAAATGATAAAGGTGTGTTTTGGTCACTTCTGTCTTCTTCCCATTTAATTTTTTTCTGCGTTTGAAAACCACACAATTCCTTTTTCCTTCTTGTTTTGCATTTGAAAATGTTTATTAATGTATAACTTTTATCTACTAATCATTATTTTTTCACGACAGACCATTATAGGAAATAAAACCACAATGATGCTGAGATATTGGCAAAAAAAAAAGATTAGTTAATTACAGAACGAGGTCCTCAGTGCTGCAGTGTGTACCACATGAACTTTCCGGGGAAGGGTAATCGCGATTCTATGTGGCCTGAGGTCCATCGTTTTAATTGTAGTGTCTCATTTAATTTTTGGTGCAGTGACATTGTTTCTGGTGTAGCAACTTTTTGTACATTACTAACAACTGTTTTGACCTCCAAACTTTAGTCTCGAGTTAGGGTCAAAGTGTCCAGTGGGAAATCCGTTCAGCATACACAAATGCAAAAGCTGTTTAGGTTGTTCAAACGTAATATTTTTGTACGATTGCAGCCTGCTGAAATTAAGCCTATAAATGAATGTAATAAGTATTTGTCCTTTAACTATTATAATGCTGAGATATTTGTAAAACTCCGGACCGCAGGAGTCTGCTGTGGAGAACGAGCGCGCAATTGTTCTTTTCGGAGAGTAACACGTTTACCACCACACCATCCGAGTCCTTCGTTTCGCCTGTCTCTCAGCTAGTTCTATCGATCTTTTGCTATCAGCAATCATCCGTCAGCGGGATTGATCTGACGAGCATAAATCGGCAGTGAACCCAGTTGAGCTGAGGCTCTAGTATTCAATCAATTCCATTGACGGGTGATTGTTGATGGCAAAAGATCGATAGAACTAGCTGACAAACAGCCGAAACGAAGATGCACATGGTGTGGTGATGAACCGCGTTACTCCCCGGAAAGGACAATAGCGCATTTGTTTGCGGTCCGGAGTTTTGCAAATATATCAGCTTTATAGTAGTTATATTTCGCAAAATACCCTGCCGTTAAAACGAATAGGCAGTAGATAAAAGGTTAAGATTATTTGTCCTTTAGTTTAAGCGAAGATGAAAGTGTTTCAGTAATTCGAACTGTCACCGCTATTTTACTAACAGTATCACATATGCGCTGTTGAGACGTATGCGAATTTTTGGAACGAGATCTTGAGACTTAAATAGAAATTTAGTTCATCGATTTTTTTGGAGTTATATGTATTTGTATCACTGGCGAAACTATCCACGGATCTCCCTCTTGTGAGGGATCTCGAGCCCGTTAGTTGCGAGGCTATGTGGCGCGTCCCCAGGTGGCGGATAGGGGGTTAATCACAGGCCAAAGCCGACATTTGCTTCCCTGAGACGCAGGTGGATCCAGTGGATGGACTCCCTGCTTCTGATGCGCTGATTTGCCACATACCTTCTGTATTTGCTAGGCGTATTCATGCATGCGTGTGTGGGTGCGTTCTTGCTTATGCGGATTGTATTCTACGAGTCAATTCGGCCAAAAGCCTGCAATCAAGTGACTGGGAAGTATATGGGAGGCGGTTAGGAGTCGCCTCCAACAAATAAGCTCTATGTCCAGTCTGGGAGAGTCTGGCAAGCTACCCGTGAGTATGCCCAGCTTCCACGTTCAGAGTCCAGCAGACTATATAAGGGGCCTCATTCCCTTGACCCCGAAAGAGTCCCCAATTTCGCAGCGTTGGGTAGGATGAGTACGGAGAGGCCGCTAAAATCTCAGAGCCAATGGAAACTGCCTGGATCGCGAAGAACTAAGGTGACGATCTGCATCTTCAATGCCCGTACACTTGAATCCGAGTCCTCGATAGAAGACTCGCTCATGCAAGCAAGAAAGATAAGGTACGACGTCATCGGCCCGGCCGAGACGAGAAGACACCAGCCTTTTAACGCCGTCTATGACACCGGAGAAGAACTGTTTCTCGGAACATGCGACAGCAGAGGAGTCGATGGCGTCGGCGTTCTCGTCAACACGAATTTTTCCATGAACATCGATTCATTCGAACGGCTCACAGCCCGAATCGGACGTTTACGATTGAAAAGATGTGGATCAATACTTGCTTTGACATTCTTCGTCGTTTACATCAACAGCAAACTCAAATGACATCAAACTATGACCAAGAATAAGTCGAAGCGTTCTGTATGGACTGGGAGAAGTCATACAGAGAAGACTATACATTCTTCATGGTCATCACTGGAGATTTCAACGCCAAGATTGAACTAAGAAGAACGTCTGAAGAGCGTCATATTGGGACGCAAAGATTAGAACGGCACGAACAAGGTGAGCGGTTATCTGAGTTTATCATGGCGACTAAGACAATCCATGGTAACTCGCAATTTCAGAAGCCCCACCCTCAGCGCTGGACGTGGGAGTCTCCCGATGGAGAATACCATAACGAAATAGACCAAATCATAGTAAATATGAGGTTTTACCTAACCGATGTCGCTGTTGTCCCAAAATTCCACACGGCATCAGAGCATCGTCTACTTCGTGCAAGATTCTATTTCTCGCGGAAAGGAGAAAAAGCCGCTAGATTCCAAAACCAAAGTTCCTGAACCACTGCAAACTGGGATTTATTCAATTCATTAGTCGGCTGTTGGAAAGATGCCGTTGTCGATAACATCGACAAAGAATACGATCGGCTCATTCAACATCTTCACGCTAGCGCTATGAAAGCTCAGTGTTCGAAAGTTGCCAAGAGACGTCTGTCTCCAGAAACACTCGAGCTGAAACGCCAACTTGGAATCGCACGATCTGCAAGCAACCGCGAACTGAAGTCGGCATTTGCAAAACAATGGAGAGAGGCAATAGAAGAGGATCTTAGAGAGAAAAGAGCAGCAGTAATTACCGAAGCTGCAGAGGTTGGGAAAGGTATTCGCAAAATCTACCGAATCTTCGCCAATTACAAGCCAAAATGATTGTTCTCCGGCGCCCAGACGGAATAGTTACACCGTTCAAAAAGGCATGGGAGAAAATCGTTCACGAATAGTACTCAGATCTCTTCGATAGCCACGTCCACCTTCCGTCATATGAAATAAAGGAGCATGAATATGTTTTACCACCTGTTCTCGCTTCCGAAATCCGACATGCCATTTCGTCGATAAAAAACCGAACAGCACGAAGCCCGGAGATGATAAGACCAGAAACCCTGAAGAAGCTTCCGCCAGTCCTCGTAAACACACTGGCTCGGCTCTTCACACGTTATCTGTCTGAATGCAAGGTCCCTACTCAGTGGAAGACCAGCAAACCGTGTTACTGTTCAAGAAGGGTGACCTACACGATATGGGCAACTATCGCCCAATCTTCTTACTGTCTGTCGTCTACAAACTTTTCAGTCGAGTCGTCCTAAACAGGATTGACAGAACACTGAATGTAGGACAGCCATGTGAGCAAGCAGGGTTTCGAAGAGGATTTATTACGGTGGACCACATCTGCACGGTAACAGGGCTCATTGAAGTATCGCGAGAGTACAAAAGACCGCTCTGTTTCACTTTCATCGATTTACAGAAGGCCTTTGACTCAATTGAGATAGAAGCAGTCTTGAAACCCCTTGATAGTCAAGGAGTCCCTACTCAGTACATAAAGATTCTTCGTGAGTTGTACAGAAACTTCACAGTCAAGATAACACCATTCTACAAAGATATTAACATTCACGTCAATTGAGGAGTTAGGCAAGGCGATAACATCTCTCCAAAATTACGTCCAACCTCGAGAACGTCATGCGAAGATTAGTATGGGATACTATGGAAGTGAAAATCGACGGTCAGCAGTTACATCATCTTCGCTTTGCTGATGACGTCGTCCTTCCAACACCAAACATTAGCCAAGCGGAACGTATGCTTGACGACTTTGATAAAGACTGTTTCGAGGCTCCGATCTGCGTCAACGATCAGAAATTGAAGGTGCCGTTCTGTACGCCAAACTGTCGAAGGTAAAGTGGACCGGACACGTAATTCTTATGGATGACAACCAATGGACAAGAGCCGTTAGTGACTGGATTCCTTAGGATGATAAACGAAATGAAAGAAGACAACCGGTTCGATGGTCAGTGTTCTTCACAAAAAGCCTTGAAGAAAGGTGTGATGCTCGACGAGTTTCTAGAGCGAGCAGAACCCACTGTACTACTCTTGAACGCGACAGGGACAAATGGAAAATTTACTGTCGCCCGCTCGAATCACTTGACGATCAATGGAACTACAGGTGATACAGGTGATGCAGGTGTAACTATATGCAGCTGAACACAATGTTGACAGTTAGGGATTGAAGTTGATCAGCCGAAATGCTTGGAAACGCAGTTTGTGCGTCAGTCGCATCTGCTGGCACTACTGCCCATTGAATAACCAGTTTGTGCTCCTTGGGTGCTCTACTCATGTGTGTAATCTCAACTGGTGCACTGCCAGCTGGGTCGACGAATCCAAAAACTGGCTTGAGACGATAGTCGCTGTTGTTGGAGCACTTCACCTCGAAGATCATCTTCGTTTCACCAGCATTGGCTAACATGGGCATGAATTTGCCTCCGGCTGCTGGAACAGCAGCTGCTGGTGGATCGATTACCAAAGAAGTCACAGCTCAAGCAGTGTTGGCAATGTTCACAGTTTCGAGCCTTGCGCTTTACCAGGTTTCATGGATCTGCAGGACAAATATTTTCTGTGGTAGGCAACGACGTTTGATGTCTCCTTTAATACAGAAGCATTAATACGACATGAACAATCGTGTTTTGTGATGTAGCTGGCTGCAGCATATCCATAAACATGTTCGTTTGCTCTTTGGCTCGTTTTGGGACAGTTCAGAACATTGTCCAATTCCTTTTCCTACGTAGTTTAATGTTTTTAGCTACAAACATGTTTACAGGGACATCAACTATAGAGCTGAGAAAATTCCTATGCATATCGAACATTTTTGCAATATTTTAACACATGAGATACCAGAAATTGATCATTCTAAACTCACATGAAGGAAGTTTGATGCACTACTTAAAGTAAAGTCAATGACAAATATGTTGATTTTCATATGAATCGATTAAGAAATGAAGATCTCAATCAGATTCGTTTTTTGAACGGTTTTATGTGTACGTTTTCAGTTAATTCGTACAGCTGAAATGTTTCGTGCGAACTTCGAACATGTCACCGAGAAAACCCCGCACTACAATGCTACAAGGAAAGTCAATTTAGGTGAGCAATTTCTCTTTTTAATTGGGTTTCCGGGATCAGGAAAGTAGAAAGCTGGAAGAAAATTTAATTTCAAAGTCATCCACATGCTTTTATGGAAGACGTTTGTGCCACAAAGCTCTAAAATTTTATGGTAAAGCTCTCAGCGCTCAAATCCTTGAGGGATGCGCTATGCATTCGACTTTATTGAATATCGTTGGAGGTGATTGAATGCATATCTGGTCTTGGTAATGAGTCGCGGTAGTCTACCGATGTATCGTGCCAGTGCTGCTATCCTTCCATACATGTCTGGTACCAATTTGCCGACCCCGGAGGATGGAAGGCTTGATGAGCCATGGGCGCGGGGATCAATTCCACGTGTGTGTCGCAGTGGCGCCTCCAACCACTACGCCACACGCGCCCTTCAATAAGCATTTTTACTGTTTCTTCAACTACTTTCTACTGTCAACGTTTTAGAAACTTGGGATGAGGTGCAAGTTAGGGCGCTTACGTGACAAATGTCTGAAAAACGCCATCTCTCTGTAATTCATAACGATGAATGCGCCGTCTATGTGGTTATTTGAACAATATATATTTGAACATGTTCCAGTACTTTACTATGTCAAAGTCTCAATATGAGCATGTGTACCGAGACTAAAGGAAGGACATTATTCGAAAAATGCTACTTCGCAATATGTTATATTTTTTCCTCTTATTATTTCACTGCAATAAGACGTATGGCTCGTGGATCATTTTCGTTGTTTCCTGGTTTTGTGCCATATGAAAGAAAATTTTGTTTTTTATTGTCGTCGTATTTATCTTTTTTAGCAGATGAGATCAGCTAACCCATTAAGGTACCCTTATCCGTGATGGGCTTATCTTACTTACCTCTATAGTTTAGTGTTTTTTATTTAGATAATTTATAAATTTCAGTTGTTCTACACACACGTGCCAAGTCTGATGACTTCTCTTCTGATGTTCTACAACAACGCGCCGCCTTGCTGCGGACATTTTTTAGCGATTCTAGACGGTAAATTTTATGGTAATTAGGTTGTCAATTATAGCCGGCAGGTCTTCAGTATATTTTGCATGTGTTGAAGCCATCTCCTTTTTTCTTCTTTGGTTGGTTTTTCTGACTGTTTTTGAATAAATTTTTCCTTTATTAGGTTGTTGACACTCGAAGTAATGAATTCATTTAGAATACGGGTAAGTGGTGAAGATGACTTGGTCATTTTTCCTTTAGCTGATATCAAACCACGTAAAGACGGTCTATCTGGAGCATATCCACGTGAGTTTCTGTATTGGTTTTTCCTTTTCTCTATCGTTTTCTTTCCGCGCTAATCTGTTACTAATTTATCGGAATTATACCAATGTCTGCTATCGTTTTTAGTGCCGTATCACCTCACTTGTCACGCATTGTCCTGTTGATCGTCGAGTGACTCGCGTGGGCGCCAGTACATCTTCCGTTTTCCCCTATCGCGTGCAAGAGTAGCTCAGTGGCTTCTGGCCGCTCTAGGACTCGTTGAGCATCTTATCTTTCTTCTAGGCTTTTCGTGAAGAACTCTGACCATCGTGTCGGTGGACTTCCCGCAGTGCGTTTAACATCCCGAGGAATCCAGTCAATAGCGGCTCTTGTCCATCGGTTGTCATTAGTACACATTACGTGTCCGGCTCACCGTATCTTCGACTATTTGGCATACGGAATGGGATCTTTGATTTTTGATCGTTGAGGGAAGTCGGAGCTTCGGATCCCTTCCCTTACTTGTGTGACACGGGATATTCCTACCATCGCACTTTCAACTGCGCAGTCAATAGCGCTGAGTGATCTTTCATTCTGCTTACGCAGCGGCCAGGTTTCTGGCGCACATGTCAACGCAAGGGGTGTCGTGCAGTCGAATAGGTGGGCAACGGTTGTACTGCCTTATTGAACATAATGTTAATAGTTGTTGTATGTGTACCATATCTTACATAAAATGTTCTCTGTTCATTTGTCCTTTAGAAATAAGCTTTGAATTTAACACCATTAACACATTTGCAACAAAAATTGCCCTCGATAATGGAATATAAGCTCTACGAATAGACTGGGTGTAGTGAGAACTTTGCAGAGATATTAGAGACCTAATATGTTGCATAAAAGGTACAGGCATTTTTTATGAAGTATTTCAATTCTAAATTCTAGAACAGAGCTCCCAAAAAAGGATTCAGAATCAAATTTAAATCGTTGAAATCGTCGACACAAGCGGAAGAGCGGCTAAAGGCAATAATACATTATGGAACGTCATCATCTATGGTTTGGCGAAGTTGTGTTTGTTAAACCCCCTTGTCGAAATATGAGTTTAAACGCAAGAAAACAGAACAAGCTAGTCTTGCTCTCTGGAGACAAATCTCATTATGGTAGAACCGAGGACCCAACGGAAGCTATTTTGTATTCAATCGTTCTGTTTACTCCTGTGGGTTTTGTTTCAACTAAGAAAGTTCACTACGAGTTGAGTGTAGTAGTTGTTGTTGAGTTGATATGTTGGTTTGATGCTGCATCAAGTCACTGTTTTCTTCCTTGCGACTAAGTCTAGCACCAATTTGCCGATCCAAAGATATGCGAGCCTCGGTTGGACCTGGGTACCAGTTCTAGTCAACTTTCATAATACGTGTATTGCAGCGTAGCTCAAACCACGGCGTTGCACACACCCATTTAGCGGGCATGGTCAAGAATTTTTTCAGCAAATTCTGAGAACCTTGCAAGGATATTTCAACGTCGTCATCCATATCATCACCACGTCTAGTTGCTGGCCTTTATCCCATAACGGATGCGCGGTATTTAGCACAGTTTGGCCAATAGAATACGAACAATTTCTCGTTGGCTGCTGTTTTTCTGATTTTCTGGTAATGAGAAATAATTTTTGATAACTGAAAGACTTTAGGAGTAGTGAACATGGCGGAATTCTAGAAGAGACTTTGCTCTGTCGTTCTTTGGGTGTGTATGACACGTATGCTACTATTTACTGTACTGCTATGGCCCATATTGCAATTGTATTGCTGTCCGCTTCGAAGTATTTTGCACCATATGTTAAATATAACTCAGTGTTTTTTCTATATTCCAAAGGTTTTCTTTGTGGATCAATAAGTGACGAGAGTGTCTTTTCTGATCCTACACGTCTGATTTTGATATACTTTCGATTAGCTGTCGAATGAATATGCATACTGCAGCAAAAAAAAGTTTTGGAACCCACTGAGCGGAAAATGAACATCATAGTGTCCATATCGTCCTCTGGACCGGAGACAAATAGACGTTAGAGTGTTCACAATACCGGGTGCTATGGGGTTTGGACTATGTGGAGGTTCGTCACCCCGCGCCCGACTTTTCCACTACGGTGGCGAATTAGAACATATTTTTACTTCTGCTTTAGTTTCCGGATGGAAATATCGAATCTCTCTATGCGCTTACATTCTGTTCTTCCACTTGACTCTATATCATATCTGAGGACTCCAGCACTTCTTACATTCGATTCGTATTCTCACATCCTTCACGAAGGTTTTTGGATCTTGCTTGTTTATTCGGCTGCTGCTTAGGGTTTTTTGGATTTCTTCACGAATGTTTTCGAGTACTGGTCAATTAATAGATTCTCCTTTGAATCCTGAGATGAATGTACTGTGGCGTTCCCAGAACTTCACCGAAGTCAGTGATCAGGTTTTTTGATCGGAAGAAGTTTTGTATAGATGTTAGGTACCAACTTCATTACACAGGAGGAATAAGAGGTTTGGGCACCTGGGTCATGGTCAGAGCACGTTTTTGTGCAGTTTCTAAGGGTGCTTGTATAACAGTGGCGAGAGAAGTCCTGTGATACACACGGGCTTCTTGGCTCTATCCATCACCGCTACTCTCACCAAGTCTTCCATCTCCCTAGGTCCCCACTTGCGTACCGCCCTTGTCTGAGAGTATAGCAGCACTGAACTGGTACATCGATAGATTACAGCAAATCATTATATAGAGCAGATATGTATGTTTCAAATCGCCTCTGCAATACTTGTTGAGTGGCGCAACCTTCAGCGATTGATCAATGCCGAACCTTTTACATATATATATACATATATATATATATATATATATATATATGCACACATGTACAAGTGCACGCATATATATGTATAATGTACACATATATGCATATATCCGCACATATGCGTGTATATGACTACACATCTGTCAACATGTATATATATACATATGTACATATGTATATAAATGTACAAATATCGTGTTACCATCATATTAAACGTAATTATAGAATCTGCTCCACCTGTTGAGAAGATCTTGGATGTTCAAGAAATTGTGGATTTTGACAAGAGCATGCGCAAGTTGAG